TTGTTGTTGTTGTTGTTCTTTACGTTTTGGTTAATTAATAACTGTAGTTGTTTTATTTTTGTTTTCTTTTATTATTCATTCGTTATAATATATCATGTTGTTTAATTATAATTCTTCGTCGTCATCTTCGGAATGGAAAAATCGTGATAAAGAATATAGATCATTATTATTATCGTATCCCATGAGATGGGATCGATCGTGTTAAGGTGTTGTAGTGGTACCGCAAGGTCCGCAGGGTGGACAAACGAGAAAGCACAGGAACGTTTTGACGAGTAAATTCACAAAATTTAATGTCTCCGAAGTGCTACGTAATGAAAGCCGAGGATATGGTCGATATTTTCCGTTGTTATAAATTCCTCCACCTCCTCCTCCTCCTCTTCCTAATCCTCCTTCTAATGCCTGTCTCTCCTCCTCAACCACTTCCTTTTCCTCCTCCTCTTCTTCCTCGTAATCGTCGTAAATACGCGTCAAAAGATTACGTTGACGTTGTTGTTGTTGTTGTTGCTGTTGTTGTTGTTGTTGTTGACTATGATGCTTATTTTGACGTTGACTAATATTATTACTATTATTATTATTATTATTAATATTAATATTATTATTATTATTATTATGGTGGTGATGATGCTGCTGCTGCTGCTGTTGATTCTGATTATGATGATTTTGATGATGATGATTATTATTATTATAATTATTACTGTTATTATTATTATTATAATTATTATAATAATTATTCTTATTATTATGACGATGATGATGATGATGATGTTGTCGGTATTGATGCGCGCATATCCTCGTTTCCATGGCGCTCAAGCCTGGAGGCAGTGAAGGGCGATAAAGGGTGCGCGCCGATGGCGTATAACCGGACACACGGGGTGGATTGTGTGTCAAATTCCGCGGGGGTGTTCTTGGGGCCAGACACGGCCTCATTCGGGATCACCAGTTAGCCATGCCGGGTTTGTTTAACGTCATGAAGTAGATCTGGCACGAACTTCCACCCTTCGCTGATGAGAAGAAGACCTTTTTGTGAAGAAAATTAATTAGGGGTTGTAATTTTTTATTTCCTTCTTTGTTTTTATAATCATTATGATGATTTAAATCTCAGTGTCGTACATGTTTGCTATCGCAACGTCATATTTGTGTTTTGTATATTTATATTAAATAATAGAAATAATAGACAAGTTTATTTAGATTTATTTATTTATATATGTATTATATTAATTAAATAATAATAATAATAATATATTTATATATTAATTAAAAATTAACCTTTTTTGTGCAATCCCAAAGTCCAACTTGATTAAAAAATCCAAATGAGTATAATCAAATTATCTTGAAGTTCGTAGGATTTAATTTGTTAATTGATATTTTCTTAAACTATTCTCAATACTTAAATAAATTTATTTAATAATTATTTCATAATAGTTGCGATAACAAACGTTAGAAAATATGTAATAAAATATGAAATAATAATAATACCTTATCGTTACGTTCACAAAGGAACTTTAGCCGTTGAGCTTTCTTGTGCATAAAAACGCCATCGAGATGGCCACTTTCGACACTTCTAATTTCAATAGCTTTGTTACCCCAACCCATAATTTGACCAGTACCGATGTAAGCAACGCTCGTAGGCATTTCACCCCATTGTAGTACCATTTGTTTGGCTACTCTACCATAAGTATTCACGTAAACGCCCTCGTTGTCGTAGCAAAGTAATAATTGCATGCCGTTACTGTTTGGTAATGCAACGATGCAATGTGGACAAATAGGTCCCTGAGTCTGTAACCATCAATCAATAATAATTAAAATAGTTTATCAAACTTAACAATTATATAATTATTTCTTTTTTTTTTTTTTTTAGATTATGGGAATTGGTTTATTTAACCCATTCGAGACTACTTGGTGCGTACGATGTGTAAAATCACACTGAGCTATTATCAATTAGTTTGAGTCTGAGTATTTGTCTAAATAAGACATTTTTTGTATAAATAGTACCTTTAACACTTTAACTACCATCTTGGTCATTGGTGACCGGCCACGGTGGTTCATTAGTGACCACAGCGTATGAACCTTTTACAATTGTAAAATAACTACATGAAAATTGAAAGTTAGTGTATTTGAATATGACCGATATATAGAAGATACTTTGAAATAAAAAGTACTCTATTGAACAATTACAATTTTTTATTAATATCAATTTATTATTATTTTGAATAATAAAAATAATGCAGTGGCGTCTCAGGCAAAACATGATTTCGGCGTGGCCAATAAAAGGGTTAAAGTATAGAAAAACAAAATGTGGTATTGTAAAATTAGCAATATAATAAAATAAAAAAAGTAATGGCTTCTGAAAACGGTGTTCGAAAAAAGTTGTGTTCTCGAATGGGTTTATAGTGTAAGTAAATATTAAAATATTGTTCATTTGCAGTTTGCATTTGATAAGTGCATTTATAATAATAAGTGCTTACGTGTTTCGGTAGATAGATGTCGTAAACCGTAGCTGAATCCAAATCAACTGCGTGAAAACCATCAGCACTACCATAGATAACTTTCAATCTCGTACCTTCCTCGACTGTTAGGTCAACGAGAAGTGGTCTATGAGCTAACTCTCCGAACGATTTGAATGCCATAAATTTATGATAGGGTTTTGGTGCCCATGCATAAATTTCTATTGAATCCTTCAATGCGATTACAAGGAACTTTATTCTTTCGTATTTGACTATTTTGAAATGCACCGCTCCTTGAAGATCACCGACGTTTATCCAACCATTGCGACGTTCCACTTGCTAAACAAATATATTTGACATGTCACTTAATATCAAAGAAATTTTCAGTCCCATATATGTCAATAATTTTTTATAACATATTAATTGTTATCAAAATTTTTTTCATCGGGGAAATCTTTTATAAATGAAACAATGTTACACAATCTTATTTTTGGATATAATTCAAATGTTAAATCAATAATTTATAAGAACATATTTATATTGTTTTATTTAATAAAAAATAAAGCAGTTAATAAATTAAATGTTGATTATTAAGAATACTTACATCACTATGGCCATCGGTACGTAAAATCTTACTCTTCAGCCATGATAGATAATATACCCTCACACGATTCTTCTTACCGCTTATGGTAACCAAAATATTTTGTCCTTCGAGTACTTCCATTTGTTGAAAACGTCTCCTACTAATAAGTTGATAAACTTTTCCTTGTCCACTTCTGTCTAACAACATAAGTCCGTTCTCCGTACCAATTAACAGATTTACACCTAAAATTATAATTCAACATAATCATTAGATCAATAAATTTTATTAGAATTTTACAAAGTAGAAAATTTGTGTGCAGCAGATTTTGAAACAAAATTAATGCTGCATGTGTTTCACGTTTAAAATAAAATTACAAAACTCAAGATGATGACGAAAAAGAAAAATAAATGAATAAATGAATGAATGAATGAATGAATGAATGAATGAATGAATGAATGAATGAATGAATAAAAACATTTACCCCGTGTAAATTTTAAAACAAAATTAATGTTGCATGTGTTTCGCGTTTAAAATAAAATTACAAAACTCAAGATGATGATGACGAAAAAGAAAAATAAATGAATGAATAAATGAATGAATGAATGAATGAATGAATGAATGAATGAATGAAAACATTTACCCCGTGTAAATTTTAAAACAAAATTAATGTTGCATGTGTTTCACGTTTAAAATAAAATTACAAAACTCAAGATGATGATGACGAAAAAGAAAAATAAATGAATAAATAAATGAATGAACGAACGAACGAATGAATGAATGAATGAATGAATGAATGAATGAATGAATAAAAACATTTACCCCGTGTAAATTTTAAAACAAAATTAATGCTGCATGTGTTTCACGTTTAAAATAAAATTACAAAACTCAAGATGATGATGACGAAAAATAAAAATAAATGAATGAATAAATGAATGAATAAATAAATAAATGAATGAATGAATGAATGAATGAATGAAAACATTTACCCCGTGTAAATTTTAAAACAAAATTAATGTTGCATGTGTTCACACGTTTAAAATAAAATTACAAAAACCCAAGAATATAATGATGAAGAAAGAAAAAAAAGAAATGAATGAATAAATAAACAAATAAATAAAAATTTACCCCACAGTGCTGCACATAAAATCTCGCTATTGAAACGTTTTTTGTATTTTCTTATTTCCGGGGTATCGGATGCCAAATCATGGCTGGTAGGTGTCACGTTAACGTTAACATGGGATTCTCTTCTAGCTGGTCCAGCACCAAATCCAAATGTCAGGAACGATCTCTGTTTCTGTTGTAATGCAAACGGGGGTGGTGATTTAACCGCTTGTCGATACTGCAACAAATACAACTCCATGATCGAACACGACGAATGGGATATTTTTCAATGAATTTAAAAAAAAATAAATAAATAAAAAAAATAAATAAATAAAAACAATAAAACGTGCTTTACTTATTTTTGTTTGTTTGTTTGTTTGTTTTGTAGTTAAAATCTTAGGAAAAAAGAAAATGGAAGATGATAGTTAGGATAATAATAGCGATTAAAGAGATTAATGTAAAAAAAAAAAAAAAGAGGATTTAATTTTCTTGTTTTCTTATTTTTTATTTTTTGTTATAAACCCCCTTCCTCCCCGAATGCGAGAGAGAGAGAGAGAGAGAGAGAGAGAGAAAATGAAACAGAACAGGACTTTAATTTGTAAATTAAAAAAAAAAAGAAAAGGATTATGAATTAATATATCATTCAATTTATACCATAACAAGTAATAGTAATAATAATAATAATAATAATAATGATGATTATGATGATAGGTAGTAATAATAATGATAATAATTCTAATAATAATAGTAATAATAATAAGGCACCACACAATAGTTAGACAGACAAGAAAATGCGACGACTTTGTATAATTAATTTTCATTAAATGAAACTTTGCTACGAGCAGAGAACAAAGACACAAGATGGGGAAATGGCACTAATTTATTTCTTTTTCGTTTTTTCTTTTATATATTTTTTTTTTTCCATCAAACACCATTTTACACGTGAAACGATGTCATTTATTATTTTTAAATAACCTTTCTAATTAATTTTTTTAATTTAATTACGTATCATATTGTTCGTGACGAATCCATTTTAAATTCGAGAAAGTAATAGTAGTGGTATAATGATGATGATGATGATGATGATGATAAAAGAATAATTTAATTTATATTATAAATGTATTTCTTATTTATATTGTTTATGAATAAAATTAAAATACGTTGATGGGTTTCAGACAATTAATTATTTATCAAATTTGATTTGCATTCAAATGAAATTATTTTTATTTCATATAATATTTTATATATAAATATTAAATCTAAATATATATATTTTAAAATATATGTTTATGTAATAAATTATATATAATAATATTTATTATTATATATAATATTATTTTTTAAATTTTTATAATTTATTATTATGTATAATATTATTATATATAAAATATATTATATATATATTTTTATTATATTTTATTATATTTTTAATAAAAATATATATAATATATTTTATAATTTAAATAAATTATAAATATTTATTATAATTGAATTAAAATATGATTGAAATATATAAAAATAAATAATATTAAAATAAATTATACATATATTTATATATATATTTATCACAAAATGTTTCAACCCATCTACGTACAATAAACAATTTATATAAATATATTCAATTTTACTAATTATTTTATTCTATTTTTTGTTTGTTTCAGAACTGACACGTATGATTTGGAAAAAGAAGAAACAAAACAGATAAAGAAGAATAATTACAAAAATTGGAAAGGTTGCTTGAAAAATAATAATAATGATGATGATGATGATGATGATCGTTTTTTAAATGAAATCAGCCAACAAATTATTCGAGAATATTATAAAGAAGAACTATTAATAGTAATTTCAAACGACAGAAACAAAAAAAGTATCGCAAATAGTAGCGAACTAATGAATAATACTTAACAATTGCATGCAATTATAAATGGTAAAAATGGATGGTTAGTATATTTAAAACTAATATCAACTTTTCTTATAAGAATATTAAATGAATTGTTTTAATTATATATTTGTCATTCCATGAAATCTAATGAAACATCTACGTTAATTAAATTCATATAAAAATGAATAGGTGGTGGTAATTATGAGATAACGTGGTTTTTGATTAAAGTGAACTAATGTTTTATAATTATTTATTTTGTTAATGGTGTTTATTTATTTAATAACCCTTTGAATGCTATAGACGCATATATGTGTTTGATAAAAATGACTAATCTTACCGTTCAAAGTATAATAATATGTGTTTGTGTTAATATTTATGTAAAGTAATTTAATAATTATATTTATTATAATTTTATTGTATTATATAATATATTTTATTATATCTCTTTCATTTTATTTTATAATATATTTTATATATAATTTTATATATTATATAATTTTATTCTATAATTATATATAATTTTATATATTATATAATTTTATTCTATAATTATATATAATATTTATTATATAATATTATATAATAAAATATCTTATAATTTAATATATATATATATAAATATTAAATTATATTATTATATTAATTAAATTATATTTAAAAACAAAAACTTACATTATTAAACATAATTTATTTCTATTATTATTAGAATCCGGTTAATAATAAATTATTCTGTTTCCACAAAACATTTGAGTTAAAAGTATTCAGCATTCAAAGGGTTAATAACGATGATACATGGGTGTTGTTGTTAACAAACAAAAAAAATTACACTATTAACACAAATCGTGATCATGCTAAAATTATTAGTATTCGGTTAAAAAAAAAAAAAAAAAAAAATACAATCTGGTTAATATAATTTTTAAATATATCCGTACATCTGATTTGTTGTTAATATTTTTTTTTTTTTTTTTTAAATATCAAAAAAGGAAAAACAAAACCAACTTGCACGATTGGAAAAATATTTGTTTAAAAGAACGGAAACAAAAACTCAGATTAACATAGAAAGTGATAGAGAAAGAAATAGATAATAGATACAGAGCAGGTAGTTTTATAGAAATAGATAGAGATTTGAAGAATTAAAAATAAGAAAAACAAACAAAAACCCATAAAGAAACGACAAAGTGTACGTGTTTTCGCGAGAAATGTTGTTAAACGATTATTTCATATTGCGTGACACCAGGAAAAGAGCCCAGAAACCAAAAGGAGGGTGTGGTAGAACGTATAACGTAGTAGTAGTAACAGTAATAGTAATAGTAATAGTAATAGTAATAGTAATAGTAATAGTAATAGTAATAGTAATAGTAATAGTAATAGTAGCAGTAGTAGTAGTAGTAGTAGTTGTTTCACGGAAAAAATCGTCATTCCTTTGCTCAGTGCACAGTGCAGAAAAAAAACCGAGAATACGTGTATACGAAGTACATACTTTTTAAAGTGTATTTTAATTATATATATATATATATATATATATATATATATATATATATATATATATGTATATGTATTTATAATATTATTTTATGTGGCAGTAATTAGAAAAGTTAACTAAATCCTTGCAATTGAAAATTATTTATTTTAACATTTATTTCAGGTTAGTAATATTATATTTTATGTTTTATATATATATATAGATTTTATAATAAATAATTATTGCAATGTTTTTGCTCTTGAAAATTTTGTTGTCAGAATTTTTGACCCATTGAAAAATTAGTTATTTAAATAATTATAAAAATGAAATATTTTTATACAAACAAGAGAGTAATAATTATATAATTTGTTTAAAATAAAAACCATAGATTTTGTGCTAATGGGTTGAAATATATTATTTTAAAATTTAATATATTTGGTAGTAATAAATATAAAAAAAAAAATATAAAAATATAATTTTCAAAGGTTTATATTTTATAATATAAATAATCTGAACCTATTGCTCGTATATTATATTTAATATTTTTTATAATTATAAAATTATATTAAAGTTTCAAATAAATAAATATTCAAAAAAAAAAATAATTTTCAAATATTATTTAATATTCTTTATTATTATAAAATTTTTAATCTATAATATATATATATATATTGTAAAAAAAAAATACAATTTAAAAATATAACATAAAATATACATTTAAAAAATTGTACATCTTATAATATAAATAATATTATTTATAATACAAATATTATTTAATATTCTTTATTATTATAAATTATATTATTTTAAAGTCTTATATACATATAATTCTAATAATGACAAAAATAATAATTGAAAAATATAATTTAAAAAAATTATATAACTTATAAATAATATTTACGTTCTTTCTATCTTTCTCTTTAATCATTTTGTTCTTACTTTTATCTTTTTTTTTTTTTTTTAAATCATAAAATAAATAATTGCAATAATTTTGATTTAATTAACTTTCACATTACAGTCTGTACAATTAATGGCACATAAATATTATATATACATATATATATATATAAAATATACACGAAAATTTGAATATGTTCGCGCGTATCTCATATGTTTTGTTTAGAGTATACGAAAAAATGAGAATTTCTTCGTGATAGAAGAGAAAGAAGCGACATTGAATCGTAGATGGACGAATAAATACTTACATTGCAATTAGTATTGGGAATGGGATGGTCAGTAGAGGGCCCTGCCCTTCGGGTTAGAGCTCCCGCGTGTCCCACAACACACAACATAATCCTGAATTAGTCACGCTGACATACGTGAAGAAAATCAATTCCGCATACGCGGAATTTCACGCGGTAAGAAGAGACGTAATAATATTTTTATTATGTATTTGATCAAATTATAACGTAAATTCATCAATTTAACAATTATAATATCAATCCTTCTTATGTGTGTGTGTGTGTGTAATACATAAATTATTTATTATTAAATTAATCAAAATCAACACATTTTTTTTTTGTTTCTTTGCTTCAATTCTAATACAAATTTTTAATTTAATTTATTTATTTATTTATTTATTTATTAATGATCAAATATTGTTTTATACGAATTTAAAAATCTTCGAAAAGTATTTCTAATAAAATAAAAAGTGCAAATTATTTATTATTGAATTATTAAAAATCACACACACATTTTTTTTTATATATATAGAATTTTTAATACAATTAATTTATTAACGAACAAATAATATTTAACGCGAATTTAAAGATTTTTAATATTAAAAAAAATATTTGTAATTTATTTTATTAATTTTTTTTGTTTTTTTTTTTTTAATAGAAGGATACCTTTTTTTTTCTCAGTGCACACAAAAACAATATTTTATTTTATAATAAATATTGATTCTGATTAGAAAATAATTTTATCCATATTTAGCATTAAGTGTTATTTTCATTTTTGTTCTTTTTCTCACGTCTCTACTTACACGCGAGTTTTACTTTTTTATTGCTTTTCTTTTTTCTTTTTTCTTTTTTTATCGATATTGAAAGAAACGAGGTGAACAAAACAATATTCAGAAAAAGAAAAAACAGTGATTTACTATACATATATATAAATATAGGGTCATATATATATATATATATAGGTTCCCTAATTAATTCTACTCCTAAAATTCGAATCAAGTTCTAATAGTTGCTTGTCATCCTAAATATTAGAAAATTGAAAAAGTATTTTCGTGCTTAACAGAAAACAGGAACGAGAGTTTTATGAATGAGATAAGAGAATTTGAAAAGTTAAGCATAATTAATAAATATATATATATATACATAGTTAAATATTAAAATCAAAAATAATTCAAAAAAAAAAAAAATAAATAAAAGTGTAATGCATCATCATTTCTGTTTTCTGATGCACGTATATATACATACATATATATAAATAAATCTATATAAATATAAAATTTATAGATCTTAAGTAGAATATTAAAAAAAAAGGGATTGCAACAACAACAAAAAATTTAAAAAAAATATTTATAGTTAAAGTGATTAAAATTTCTAAGGTCAACTTCTAAGGCTATCTATAAAAAAAAAAAAAAAAAAAATGAAAAAAAAAAAGATCTATTGCACTTTATCAATAGTTTTATCATTGATCTTGATTTTGATCGATAGATCCCTAAATTTGTCATCATCCCCAAATCCTAATCTCATCCCCTCAGTAAGTAAGGGGTGGTCTAATCTTAAAACACTTTTCTTAAAAAACCAAAAAAAAAATCACGTAGCTGCTTTCTGATGTAACCTTGCGTTTGCTATTTGTAAATGCAATTGTAAAAACATTTTGCTTTGTTTTTAAAATTAAACAAAAATTTAATCGTTTTCTTTACTTTTGTTTTTGTTTTTGTTTTTTTTTTCGTATCGTGCCAATTGTCTTGTTCTTGTGTAATTTTTTCCTGCCTTTTCGTTTTGTTTCTATTTTTTGTCAAATAATTTAGGAATTAATTACTTCAAAAAATATATATAGATAAATATAGAAAATTTTGTAAGAAGGTTTAATTAACTACGATTCGTTCAAAACAATCCAAATTTTGGTATCTAATATTTGCGTGCCGACGATTTCAGTCATTATATATAAAAAAAAAAAAAAGAGAAAAAAGTTTCATAGCGTTCAATATAAATAATTCTTGCACCCAATAATAGACTATATCACTATAATGCATTCGCAAGGTACCGACATTAAGCATAAGCCACCTTCCACGTGAACTCGTTCAACTTTTTACTAATATATGCCTCACCTCGTTTATTTTTTTTTTTTTTTTTTTTTTTTTTTTTTTTTTTTTTATAATCATTCGTTAATTTAAATATCAAGTGTAGTAATTAATTCGATGCATTAATATTGAAGCCAATAATTTAAAAAAAAAATAAATGCAAAATTATTTCGATGATTAACAGACTTGTAAATATTATAATTGTAGTTACTGTATAAGTTACTGTATATAGTATACTTTATAGTACTATTACTTTTTGTATATACTTTAGCATATAATATAAGATATTAAAAAATTTTAATTTTAAAATTAAAAAATGTATTATCTATTTAGTATAATAGTATTTTATATAGTATAGTATAGTATAGTATAGTATAGTATAGTATAGTATAGTATAGTATAGTATAGTATACTATATATATATATATATATATATATATATATATATATATNTATATATATATATATATATATATTGTATACTAAAAATAGTAGTACCATAATATATAGTATATACTTTAATATATAATATAAAATATACAAATTTAAATTTTAAAATTAAAAAATGTAATATCTGTTTACTATAATAGTATTATATAGTATATATAGTATATACTAAAAGTTACAGTACTATAAAGTATAGTATATCCTTTAGTATGTAATATATAAAAATATTATAAATTTTAAAATTTAAAAATGTAATATCTATTTAGTATAATAGTATCATATAGTGTATATATATATATATATATATACATTATATACTAAAAGTAATAGTACTATAAAGTATAGTATATATATTTTAGTATATAATATAAAATATTAAAATTTAAATTTTAAAATTAAAAAATGTAATATCTATTTAGTATAGTAGTATTATATACTATATATAGTAGATACTAAAAGTTACAGTACAATAAAGTATAGTATATACTATATATACTATATAATACTATTATCTATACAGTAATTAGATATTATACTATTTAGTAATTACTACTATACTATATAGTAATAGATATTACATTTTTTAATTTTAAAAATGTAAATGTTTATATATTTTATATTTTATATTTTATATTATACTAATTTAAAAATTCAAAATTTTTAATTCATAAACAAAATATTGAGAATCGATTGCTACATTTATTAATAAATATGTTAATAAATATTCTAATGCATGAATGAAAAAATTTATTAATAATCTTTGAAAATAAATTGGCATATATTTTGTAAAATTGACTGTACACCCACGTGGCCACTACACGCTTAAAATATTAACTGTAATTAGCTGCGTTTATTAAAATTAAAATCATCATGAATAAAACGGTTTTCTTTTTTTTTTTTTTTAATTTTGTTAAATTGTGAGAAAAAAAATAAATTTATTAACTATTGAAATGAAAACAAATCGTAACGTAACGAATCAATGAAGAAATGAATTTTTTTTTCCTACACATGTGTGATACTTTTTTTTTTCTTTTTTTTTTCTTTTTTTTGAAAAAAAGTACCTACACACGTGTGTGTATATACAATTTATGAGTGCAAATAAATAAAAAAAAAAAAACGCAGCCAATGACTGTCGCGAAAATCTACACGCCACGACGCTCACAAAACTCACGAGACAACAGATCGACAAATGTAATCAAATATTATAAATAATAATTGTGCAGATTTTTTTTTTTTGTAAAAATGATAATAATTTAATTTAAACCGCATACGCTTAAAATATAATTTCCATCACGAATATATATTTTAGAATATAAATTTTTACAAAAAAAAAAAAAAAAAAAAACCATTATCAAACAATAATTTAAATAATCCTTTGACTAACTAATAATTTATTCGAACAACCTATAAGTATTGTCAAACAAGTTATGAATTTTCATTTGACTATTATCAATGTTTAACAATCAAAGGATTATATAATAAAGATGATTAAAATTAAATATATTTGTCACATAGTGTGACAGAAAATAATAATAATAATAATAATATGAAATAAATACATTTGTTTTGATTGAAAACTATAATTAAGCGTGTGCGGGTATGTGCATTTATAAAAAAAAAAATATATGTATATACAATTTTTAATGCTTATGACTGTATATACACATACATACATATTATATATATATAAGCGATGATAGATATGTATATATATATATAATATATATTTAATATAATATATCAATAAATTATATATAAATTAATATTATATATTAATATAATAATAAATTATATTTAATTAAATTATAATATAATATAATCTATATAAATATATATATAAATATATATAAATACAATATACATTTAATATATATTTAATTATTTATTTATATATTTAATTTAATATAATATATATATTAATAAATTATATATAAATTAATATTATATATTAATATTATAATNTATTAATATAATAATAAATTATATTTAATTAAATTATAATATAATATAATCTATATAAATATATATATAAATATATATAAATACAATATACATTTTATATATATTTAATTATTTATTTATATATTTAATTTAATATAATATATATATTATATTAAATTAAATACATATATATATAAATAAATAATTAAATATATATATATAAATATATATAAATATATATAAATACAATATACATTTAATATATATTTAATTATTTATATATATTAAAATATATATTTAATTATTTATATATATATTAAAATATATATTTAATATATACAATATGAAAAAAAAAAAAAAACTAGAATTTAAATAAAGATGACATAATAAAGCAAAGGACAAGTGTATCTGACCTCCTCGCTTGTAGACTTGTCCTGACGTTGACCCGGGGACGAGGTCAAAAGATCTGGTAAAACTGAGCTTGGCCTTGAACCAGGTGACGAGTCTGATCTCTGGAATTCACCACCACCACCACCACCTCGAGCTCGATCACCACCTTCTCGGTTCTGTAAAATGTTCACCATGTTTCTTTGGTTTAATTTGTACTTTGTCTAAATTCTATTATAAATTATAAAAATAATCATAATAATATTAATAATAATTAAAATAATAATAATAATAATAATAATAATAATAATAATAATGATAATAATAATAATAATAATAATAATAATAATAATAATAATAATAATAATAATAATAATAATAATAATAATAATAATAATAATAATGATAATAATAATAATAATAATAATAATAATAATGATAATTAAGATAAGGAGAGAAAAAAATCAAGGAAAAGATAAAAATTTGTAAATCGTTCGTGGATCTGTTCTCGAAAATTATTTTCAATTGTTTTTCAAATATTTTCTATCAATGAAAATATGTTTTTGAATTAATTTTTTTTTTTTTATTTATTTTTTATTATTATTATTGTTGTTATATTTGATTCGTAAAAATTGAATGAACGGTTCCACTGAACGATTTCGAATAAATTTCAAATATAGAATTATTACGAAAAAAAGGAAAAAGAATTTTGGAAATTTGGGCCAAAGATAAATTCATTTGTCGAATAATTGTAAAGAACATTTTCAAAAGGAATATTAAATTTTTGAATATCAAAGTGAATTCCAGAGAGAGGGTTTGTTTCGAAAGTGCAGGATAAAAAATACGCTTGGAAAATTATTAAATAAATAATGCGAAAGACATTAGCGTGAAAAACAATAAATGCAAACAAACAAAAATGTCAGGCAAATAAATAAATTAATAAAAAAAAAAAAAAAACAATTAGCAATGGAAAAAAGATTAACAGAACATATTAAAAAAAAAAAAAAAAAAAATTAAAAATTAATAAATAATAATATGCAAAAATAACGATACATAAGCGATTGATGACAAATGATTATGGTGAAAATGATTTATGAGATTATGATGATGTAATTTAAAGAAAAAAAAAAAAAAAAAAAAAAAAAAAAAATTTGCGAAATGAAAGAACGCAACGTGTTCGTTCGCATATTTTTCTTTTCTTATTTTTTCTTTTTTTGTTGTCTTTCTTTTCTTCTGTCTTTTAAACAATTAAACAAATGTAATTAATTATATCTTAATAACATAAATAGAAATTATATTAGTATCACAATTTTTTTTTCTTTTGTTTTTTTTTTTTTAAATACAAATTCAAATGTAAAAATTCTCATGCAAACAGATATTTTTCACCGATCGTTCGGATTGTTTATATTAATCTCTATTTTTTCTTTTTTTAATTATTATTTTGCAAATTAATTAACATTATCCGTAAACGTATAAAGCATTTAATTACGTAAACATTAAATAAAAAAGCAAATCGTATAAAAACTGATTATTATTATATTGTAACAAGTTAACACCACTCCTTACAATATATTAATAACAATAATTATAATAATAATAATAATAATAATAATAACATTAACAATAATAACAATAACAATAATAATAATAACAATATAAATATTAATATTAAATTAACATACACGTAAATAATTATATTTATTTAAGAAACACATCGTATTTGATGCATTTCCAAAATAAATACAATGCACACGTAATTAAATCGAATTCATTCGTAAAAATATCAAAACCATCAACGAGAAATAATAAATCGTTAAAATAGATATTTAAACGAGATATTTTATGGATTAATTATTATTTAAATGGGGGTGGGGGGGAAATAGAAGGGGGCGTAAACAAACAAAAAATATTACGAAAATAAATAAATGAATAAATAAATAAATAAATGTACCCTCTTGGCAACGTAAACACGTTAACATAATTAACTACATTTACTCTACTTACGTAATAAATATCAATGTAACTATATCGATAACATTTATAATAATTAATTAATTAATCGACGCATCCGGATTAGAAAAATTGTATAATAAAAAGCGTTTTGTGTATCTAGCTGTAACTAAATCTAATATAATAATAATAATAATTAAATAATCTAATCAATTCTAATAATCTCTCTAACGAAAACAAACAAAAAAAAGAAAAAACAAAATATGAACAAAACTACGATTATCTAAGGAATGATAAAATCTTATTTAATTAACAATAATAAATCTATATAAAACATTCTAAACTATATATCTAATAATAATCTAATAATTTGTAAAAAAAAAATACGAAGAGAGGCAAACGTCGTGCATACTTCCGCCGTTCTTTCACGTGAACGAAGGAAAATTAAAAATAAAAATAAAAATAAAAATAAAAAAAAAAACAGAAAAAATATAATCAATAAAACGAAATAAATACAATTATTTTATAATTATATATTATTATAATAATATAAAAAAGTAATATATATATATATATAATATTTTATCGAGAGACAAATAATAAAGTAGTGAGTATTATTATTATTAATAATTCGTGTTTATTTAACACACACACACACGCGCGCGCGCTTATCATGCCGAAAATAAAAACACATCGCAAATACGTAGGTTTCCAAAATAAAAATAAAAAATAAAATAAATAAAATAATAAAAATTAACGATCAAACAAATCAATAAAAACATAATACAAGCTTGCTTTGCGCATGCCGAGGAACATAAAAAAAAACAAAACATAAAATAAAAAAAAACAAAACCAAATAATAAATACTAATAATAATAAATAAGATTTATGCGAACAGCAGCAACCAACAACAACAACAACAACAACGACACAACACAAACAGCGACTCCCAAAAAAATCAAGGATCACACAGGACACACAGATACACACATACATACAACACACAACATTCCGGAGGCACAAAAAATTCATCTATCGTTACAAGCGTCATGCAACAACAACATTATGGTGGAGCACGATATCACAAATTATTATTATTATTATTCTAGCCTCGTACGCCGTTCAGAAATTGATCCATCATCGATCATGTCACGTTCTCCGTCTCTCTCTCTCTCTCTCTCTCTTTCTCTTTCTCTTTCTCTTTTTCTCTTTTTCTCTTTTTCATTAATTTATTTTTGTTCTATTTTTTATCTTTCATTTATTTATTTATTTATTTATTTTTTTTTTTATTATTATTATTAATTCCCCAATTGTATGGTCCTTCTGAAAATTGATCCTTCATTTTCTTTTTTTTTTTTTTTTTTTTCAGTAGTCTCCTCTTCTTCAATTTTAATTAACAAAATTCTTCTCATTATGAATAACTTTTCCTCCCCCTCCATTTAATTTTACTCTCATGAAAGAGATGATACACCATTTTTATTTCAACGTGTATCTATCTTTAATTCTTTTGTATATTTTCTTTTTTTTCTCAATCAATTCACGACCATGCCAGCCAGCACTTTTCCAAGACGAATGGTTTATTATTTTTATTTATTTATTTTATTTTCTTTTATTTTTTTTTTCTTTTTGGTTTAAATTTATTAGCACAAAGAGACACACGCAAAAACACTTCGAACATCATTAATTTTCTTTCATTCTTTTACTTTATTACTTTCTTCGTTTTAGAGGAGGGGTGAGGGTTGGTGGTGATGATGGTGATGATGATGGTGAAGGAAGATGAAAATATAGAAAAGGATCGTCGTACTTGGTTGATCTCTTCGTAGCTTTTGATTCGAGATGAATTCTTTTTTCTTTTTCTTTTGTAGTTAAAAAAAAATATACAAAGTGTCACCCACACTCGTTCGACAGTTCGATCATGTTGAGATAATGATCAATAATCCATGATCTCTGTGTGTTATCATTGAATTTTTATGGTAGAAAATATTAATAGGAATTTAGGAAAGTGTGGATTGTACGTTTTTTTTTTTTTTTTTTTTTTTTTTTT